CTTAGAATCAGCTGCTGTGCTAACAAAAAGAGAAACATGCACCATTGGAGCTGTACACTGTACTTGTGATAAATGTAGAGCATGGAAGAGTAGCTTTGTCACTAAGTGATTTTGGAATGCTTAATTAGATTGAATACTTAGTCAATAGCACAGGAGTCCTGGCAAAATTCTTGGGCTCCAAATGGCCATTGTTTGGAGTTGAAACTCTAGCAATTTGGGGTTGATTAAGCAATCACAATTGTACATGTCCTTTATGTTTCTTAGAGTTCTTGGTAGAACCTTCTGCTTTTCCATGTGTGGTGTTGGGTTATAAATATATGGAGAAAGCTGTGATAATAAGGGAGGTTCCTATGATATAGGAAGGTTGTGAGCAGCACAGTTCAAATACCTTGCAACTTCCCAAGGAGGCCTTCCTAAAGCATCAGAGGGGAGAGGTGGCTCAAGTCAGGCTTTACAGTATGTGACAAATAAGCAGCAAGATTCCTGTCATTGAAAAGCTGTGGGCAGGAAAATTCTGTAATCCTCCTTGAGGGATCTTTAGTTGATCTTTCAGACAGCCATATTAAAAGGGAACCTTAAACTACTAGGTTTGGTACAGCCAGGCCTGGCATTATGCCATGCCTGAGAAACACTGTGGTTTGTGTGTGCAAGGAGTCACCTGGTTGTGCAGCTACCTGAGAGCCACAAGGATGGAAGAACCTCAGCTTTGCTAAGTCCTTTCTTGGTCTTTGTTTCCCCAGGCTGGGTGAGGGGAGTAAGTGTCTCCAGCATAAATGAGAAACTGGACGTCACTTTTCTTCTGGTACTTTACACGGGAAGTAAATACACTGTACTTGGCAATTCTGGGAGCAAAACAGCACTCTTGATTAGAGAGGCCTTCCTCAAATATCTCTATCTGAAACAGGTTTTCATTTATAAACCTAGTGCCAGACAGTGCCATTTACAGATGGGACTAGAAGCTTGCAGGTCTGCTTAAAACCTCCCACAATGTGACTTGGCAGCACAACTCAAATGAGGAACTTGGGTGACTTTTCTCCTAGCCCTGATCATATCAGCATAAGTTCTTTAGCAAGGTACTTGGAGGTTTTGCTTCTCCCATTAGGGTTTCTCCTGTCTAACTTCAGTTTTGTTCAGAATGCTGTGTAAACTTTGCTGTGTTTCTTCCTAGTTTCCTTTGGAAGCAGAAATAGAAGAGCATGTGGAGGAGAGGATGTGAATGAGCTGGATTATTTTGTCAGCACCATTTTTTTTTAATGCTTAGTTTGAATTCTCACATAGCTTCTGATTCATTTTGATTCTTGTTCATACCAGACTGCCTGTGAAAACCCAAGAGTTGAAATTAGGCAAAGGAGTATAGTTTTCTTTGTTGCATCATGTATAGGATAAGAACAGTCAAGCAAATAGGGATAAGGTCTCTTTAGTACCTGTCATAATGTTGGCACACGGTCCTTTGGTATTCATAAAATGTTTGGAAATTGATCCTTGGAGTAGCTTCTCTTATTTTAAATGAGGCATAGATATGTCAGTACAATGATAAAAAGTGTGTACTTTTCTTATTGTGCTATTCTTCACCAGTTTGCAGTTTTACTCCACAAATTTGCAGTATCTGTGATGTGCTGCTTCAGTACAGCCCTGAGAAGGAAAATACTTAGAGCGTTAACGTGAGATGTCTGTGTAGGCCTAGATGATCTTACTAGTGTTGAAACAAATAGTTTACGTGCAAGATAAAACATTTACACATGAATACCACTTTGATTTAGCACCATGTCTGAATTTTGGTCTCTTATCTACTTGATGTGGCTTACTCATATCCTCTGTTGTGAGTGTGAGCTTTTTGACTTGTTTTGTGCTAGTTTGGAGCTACTCAAAAGCAGATAAGATAAAAATTAATATTTATTTGTATAGTAATCTCTTAATAAACTGAAAAGATTGGAGGCATTGTTTTTTTTTACAGCTGTATCATTACATGGTTATAAAACTCCTGCAAACCATGACTAACAGGAGGAAAAAATAGATACCATGAAGTAGTGTGGTTTGGGCTGTTTGGCAGAGAATTTTCTGTTTCAACAGATGCTGTTTTCCTACAGGAGTTTTATTTATTTATTTGTTAATTTATCCTTTCTTCCCCTCTACTCATCCTTCCTCCTCCATTTCCTATTTTGCCAACTCCATAACACCCCAGTGATTCTTTAGAGGAATATTTTTATTATCATCTTACTTCTTTTTACTGAAACTGTTTATCTTTGTAAAGAGTGATGCTGAAATACATAGCTTGCATGCTATGGAGCTTTTTATGTCTTTCATCTCTTGTTATGGTAGCATTTACCTTTAGGAGATCAAGAGAAAGGCTCTTCAGAAGAAAAACCTGGCGTTGCTTCATGGAGTGACTGACAGAAGGAGCTGTGTAAGCAGCAGCTGAAGCTGCACTTCCCCTGGAGACAGCACAGAATGTTCATGACAAGTGCTGCTACCACTGGTCTGAGGATTGAAAGCTGATCCTATTTATGAATCCGTGTCTTCTCCTTGTAATGTTGCTGTCTTGCAGTATGAACAGCTTAGGAAGGTTATTTTAAATTAACCTTCCTGTGTTAAAACAATGTCTAGTCTGTTCCTATCACATCCAACATTGTAAGCATCAAGGCCAGCGAATAATTTGACTGCAGCTGGTGTGAAAGGGGAAGGCTGGAAGAGAAATGTTAAAATGTTGTGGAAAAAAATAACATCACACTTGCATAGATGCCTTTATAGGAGCTGTTTTCGTTGCATAATGAGATTGCTTTGTGCTCTAGAAGTGTTCAATAATAGATAGTGTGCAAGTGTGCTGTATGGAAGATAGGCTGCCTTGACAGGCAGAATGCAATTACCACTCAGAGTATCCCTTCTGTGCAGCTTTGCTTCTGCAAAGGACAGTGTGAAGAAACAAACCTCTCTGGCTTGTTTCTCTGTCTCACTCACTGTCCTGCAGATTCAGTAGAAATCCCTTGACTGTGGCAGGCTCATCATTTCAGGGAGCATGGTGGGAGCTGTGCATTCCCTGGGTACCAATTCACTGATTGTATAGAAAGCAGCTCTAAGTAACATTTTTAAACCCTTTCTGCTGGGACCTAGCAGTGAATCGTGGCTTCTGCTGAATCTTGCTGCTGGGACCAGCAGAGCCTGAAGAACTGAATGGGAGTATATTTTGCAGGGATGTTGTTCTGAGATCCACAGGCTGCATGAAGGTGGGAGTCCCAGCACTGTGCAATTTCAGAGCTGACTCCTTCTCAAGTAAGAGAAAGCTATAAGGGAAATTCCTTAATTATTCTTTTGTTCTTGTGGTTCTCTCTCAATTGAACATCCCAAAGCACATGAAGAAACCTCTGCTATCCTGAGCTGGAAGGGTTTGGACTATAGAAAAGGGAAATAGAGTAACCATCCTACTTTGTGATAGCTGTCACTTGTGCTTGAGTTTATCAGAATTATTTCTTTCCAGCGAAAGAGAAGATACTAAAACTGTGATTAACATCACAGTGTTACAGTTACCTAACTGTGTAGATGAGAGTTGGTGGCTGACAAGCTGAGCTCTGCTTTTGCTCTGGAGCTAGCAGGTAACATATTTCAGAAGGAACGAAACGATGTATTTCTTCATAGCTAACTAAAAAAAAATGACAAACAGCTGCATCCTCTAAATATGTCTGAAAGGTGAAGTATTTAAGGTTCCTTTGCTTTTGTGTATAAACAGATTTAGTATTGATATTAGCAGTTTGGACTTG